TCTCTCTCTCTCTCTCTCTCTCTGTCTCTCTCTCTCTCTCTCTCTCTGTGCTCCTATATGGACTCCAAGCTTCATGATTTGTAGGTTCCTCTCCTATGGTGCAGACCTCACTACACGTACAGTGTGCAGTAGGGAGTTGGGGCATGGGGAACTGATGCAAGCTGCTCTGTGAGTAAATAAATGGTCTGATCCCTAATCCAGAGCTCTCGTGTTAATGTGTGTATGTGACTGTGCGCGACTGTGTCAGGCAAACGAACGGAAAGTCAGGCCTACTCAGGATCTGCTTTCACCAAGTGTCGACAGCAGAGCATGCTAGAAACTGCCACACATCGATACCATGGGTATTCAGAATGCAGTTCGCTTGCAAGTAGTGCAACATCTTAGATCTTGTCATTTCAGACATAATAGGTAGAGCTATCTCAATGGAGAGTATAGGTCTAATTATGAAACTAGACACTTTTAACAATAACATATTCATCTAAAGAATATTTGATGTGTCCACAGCTCTGCTCCAAATATATAAAAAGGTATAAAAGTTCTTAATAATGTATAGTATATACACAGATAGCTATGTACACTAGACAGCAAACTAGGAAGCATTAAACACTACAAAAAAAAAAGAATTAATTACTTTGACTATTCAAGAGAGAGAGATGGCCCTACCTGCTACCTGGGGAGATTAAGGATGCCTTCAGGGAGGTGGGAATGTCTTGGCTGAGGGATAGTAAGAAGCAAAGATCAGGAAAGGGTGTCATTAGACTTATGAGTCTTAATGAAATTGTACAATTTACGAATAAAGAATGATAGCTAACACTTATTGGATACTTATATACCAGGCACTAAGCTAAATGCATTAAGTGATCTTAGTTTCTAATTTATTTCTTCCAAAAACCCTTGTGAGGTGGATAGTATTATTTTTCTTAGAGAGGTTTATTAACTTGTCCAAGTTGAATCGATCTCAGGTGGTGGGACTGGAATTCAATCTACAGTTGAGTAGGTGACAGGTGGTTGGACTCCAGGAACAGCACTCAAAGCACCCTGGTCTCCAGCGTTCGGTAGAATAAGCAACAGGGCAAAGAGCAAGAGACAGGAAATCCCTGGCACGTTTGAGGAACAACAGATAGTTTTGCTTACTAAGTAGTGACTAGAGTAGAGGCCCAGAATCAGGAAGAGGGGCTCTGGCTGGAGATCAAATTTGGAAGCTATTTTCATAGGCAGGAGAGTACATGAGATTGTTTAGGGACAGCCTGGAAAGGAGGGCCGTCAATCAATCAGAGCTGGCAGTAGTGACACTTAAAGGAAAAAGAGAGAACCAGGTTCAAGACAAGGAGTGTCCAGAGAGGTAGAAATTCATGAGAGGCCAGGGAGGAAAGGCTTCAAGGAGAAAGCCTGTCAGATCAGGGGTTAAATATTTGGAGAGCTGCTTGATCTAAAAAAGCACTAATCCAGAAAAGTGGTGCTGATGTGAATCAGAGGTTTCAGAGAAAGGAGATGGTATAAAAAGATGGCTGCGAGTGCAGAGTATGTTTAGAGGCATTTATAGGCAAAATGACTTGGTAAACCACCAGAACTGAGGTAGGTATTTTTCTCCAGCATGGTCCACATACCACTTGCATTAGAATCACCTGGAGTGGTTGTTTAATATGCAGATTTCTGGGCCTCCCTGCAGGACCACTGAATCATAATCATAATCTTTGGGGAGGATGCTCTGGGTATCTTCATTTTAAACACCACTGCCCCACATTTATATATACCACCTTCTTATGTATACAGGACAGGGTGCTTCAATGTGTTTTTGGAATGAATGGATGGAGTCCATAGAAAGAGATCAATTGAAGAGATGGGAAAGCTGATGGAGAGTAATTCTGAAAAGGTTAAATGAGACCCAGGGCACCAGCAGAAGGATTAGCCTAAAAGAAAGACTCCACCCATGTCCAAGGACATCCTTGGACATCCTCCACTATGGTAGAGATTCATGCTCAACAGAGCAGCCAGCGAAGTCCTCGTGAAAAGTTCAGTCTTGGGCCTCCACTCTTGGTAATAATGTCTTGCCATTTACAGTGACAGCCTTGATGCCAGAGATGTACCAGAGGCTGAAGTCCCAACAGAAGACAGAGCCCCTGATGAGTCCCCCAACCCTCCCGGCAGCAGTGGGGAGAGCACGGATAGCTGGTCCCAGCTCGCCAATGAGGAGGACAACCCAGACGACACAAGTAGCTTTCTGCAGCTCAGTGAGCAATCCATGAGGTACCTGCTCTTCACTTGACTACCCAGGGAAACAAGTCTTAACACAGATTCCAGAAATGCATTTTAAATGGTTCTCTGCAAAGGGTCCCTAACAGAGAGAGCAAAAAAGAAAGCACCCACTAGGTCAAGGTGCCTGCCTGTCATGATTTGTGCTGAGAGGTAGCTTAATATCCAGTTATGGCTTCAATTACCTTGACCAAGGTTAAGAGTCAGCTGTGTTCCTTTTCTGCAAGTCCCAGCTAGTGCATTCAGTGATGACAACTGTGAATTTTTTAATAAGAGCTTCTATTACACCTGGTGTGTTTGATACTTTCTTTCTGGTTCATTTGTATTTCAGATGCAACCCAGGCTGGGTTTACATGAGGCAAGTGTTTCCACACCATGTTGTGTTGTTTGGCCTAACTGTTGCTCCCCTTTCTCTCCCGTGTCCTCTGTATTGTTGCTCTGGAAAAGCTAGAGAGGAGCTAATGAGAGATCAGATTTGATTGGATCCCTGCCAATCAGGAGACATAAACTAAAAACTGTCCCTCTGTGAGATGAACACGAAAAGAATCTCCACATTTCTGCCCAAAGTCTTATTTGATACTTGACCAACAAGTCCACAGACTTTCCAGAAAGGCCAATTGGAAAATGAGATTCAGACACATCTGGGTGTGTGGCTCCTTAAAAGTTTTATTTCCGGCAGTTCAGTCTGTTTAGATTTAGGAAAGTTTCACGATGTTAAACAATTGGTCTAAAATTCCAAAAACTGGTGAGAAATGTTTCAATATAGAGACAAAAAGCAAAGAGATTTTGAATCTTGGACTTAGCAGATGTTTATAGGGTTAATTGCCTCCAGCATAATGTTTGAGTCATCAGATTTCAATAAGTAAACATATTCAGTACCCCACACAAAACCCAAGACAGGAATTTGAAATTGAAGGAGTCTAGTTGGTTACTCATGGTACTTCCAAGGGAAGACTATCCCATTATATGACACACCAGCTCTCATCCTTTGAAAACCTTAATTGGAAGAGATGTCATTGGGAAATAGAGAAGGTGTGAGGAAACTCAGTGGATTTGTTGAAACTGGTTGCATTCCATTTTGCAAGTACAAACAGAGGCTAAAAATTGGCTCAACTCTACTGTGTTTCAGTAAATAAGTTCCAGGCTAATAACTAGACTGTATATTGTGGTGCAACTTATGAAAATAAGTTTTCCTTTTCATTTCAATATGTGACCTCTCCTTCTCCATGATACATAATGTTGCACCTTCTCAAAGATTTTAAGATAAAGGAGCTGTAAACTTTGGCATTGCCCAAGTTTGTGCTTGTAAGTTCTATAGTCCCGTTGGAAAACAGTGAGCCAGCTGCATACCCTATGGAATGTCCCTCAGAAAAATCCCCTTAATAGCAAAGGGAGAGCATGCATCCACTGGTTTCTGTCAAATGCCAAGAAGTAGACAGACAAACATTCCAGGATCTCTCCCAGGCAGCATTCTCAGAAGTACCTTAGTCTCTGTGGGTATACCCATGGAGTCTCTTGCTGGTATGTAAACATCCTCACTGTAACTAGAATGAGGAAGAGAGGAGTCATGCCGATGGTCACTTACTAAGTGTGATCCACCAGGTGTGACACCACTGCAAAAATTAGAAAACATTCGTGATGATGATGATGATCATGATTGGCTTGAGCCGAAAATATCTTTTGTTGTGTTTCCACCTAATTTGGTCATGAATAAATATCAATTTAGGAGTCCTAGACACAAAGCAATATTCTTCTGGGGACCAAAGTGAGGAGCTCTTAGAACAATGGAACATCAGTGTCGGCAGTGTGGACAGGTGGTGGAGATTGGCATTAATGTGTAAACTTTTGCTTTGTCAGCAATGGCAACAGTAGTGCCACTAGCAGTCTTGGCATTACGGACCTGGACATTTATCAGGAAAGCATGCCATCTTCTCCCATGATTAAGTAAGTAGCCACTGAGATGCAGTGATTGTGAGATCGCTACTCCAATTCCATCTGGCAATCCATTTTGATCATCAGGTTTTGCCCAACCACTGATTTCATCATGTCTGTACTGCCATGGTTCCCATGTGGTTCCATGGGGTTCCATGTCACTGGAGGAAGAAGTCAGGCCTAGAATAGCCCCACCCTACCACCGCCTGCTTTCTGGATTTCAAATCTGCCCCCTATGATATAATCATTTCAGATAAAACTTATCCATGTAATCAGAAATATATGTCATTTTACCTAGTTGGATAACTAGAAGCAAAAACCCATTTAAATTGCACCATGCCAACCAATGAAGACTATTGTTCAATAGAATATAGTATGAGTGGCTTTTCCTTTACTTCTAGACACTTGAGATTATCGCTACTAAATGTGTCTAATACCAAATGCTGCCATGATGGAGATGTGTCATGCCCACTCAGTAACTCTGTTCCCTACAATATGAAGACCTAAAAGACCAAGGGAGAAAGCACTTAGAGAAATACAATGTGTTTTGCGGTACGGAAAGGGAGGGCAACGTGAGATCAGGACTACATCTAGAATGTGTTTATTCAGGAAAGCTAAGTGAATTGAAATCTATTTTTGACCATTATTACTTAGCTTATTATTTGGAGATTCTGAAATTTCATAAAAATTTAGCACAGGACTAAAGTTGCTCCCTGACCTATTTCCCCAATTACTATCTATAGCTAAAGCATTTTTACTTCACTATTTCATCAGGCATCCTGCCTGCGGGAGTATTCCTCAGTGATTGAAGATTGCAATGCATCCTTTGTTGTTCCACACAGGCATTTGTCACAAGTAGAGATAAACACACACATTATCTTGTTATTTTGTTGTTTTTTAAAAGGAGAACCAAAAAAACAAAACAAACAAAAAAACTACTTTGGGATAAATTTATTTTTCTCCTTCAGGAAACATTTATTTAGCTACTTTTTCCATCTTTCTCCATGGAGAAAGCCTCCATGTATGAGCCCAGGACCCCAAAGACCACATGTCTTCAGGAAAAACCAAGACCACCACTCATATCAATACCATACAGATCCATAATAGCAGAAACTGTACCTACTATATGTCATTTCATTCATATTACGTACATAGAGATCTAGCAGAAAATCTAGACACAGGAAATTGGCCATTCTTCTACAAATAATTAGATATGCGTGAAAGAAGAACTACACTCTCTCTCAACATCAGAAATAAAATGGAATTTATCAGCCAGATCTCAGCAGTAGCATAGTAGTAGCATAGAATATAAAGGAAAAAAGACACATTTTTAAGAGCCCCTGTACTTTAATTTCTAGACAGGACAAAAATATAGGCTTCCCAAGACGGTCACTTCCTTTCAATTGTTGGGCTATATGTTCTCATTTTGGAAGCATTAACTGAGTCCTCCCGCTATACAGAAGGCTCCCTGATAAGTAAAACACCTCAAATATTGAACATTCCCACATCTAATGAAATATTCACTTTAGTTATGAGTCTCTTGTTCTAAACCACCTCCAGCCTACTACATCTTCCTGATAAAAGGAAAGAAAAAGAAAAATTTCAACTAATTGAGATATTTAGTTGTAAAATTTAAGTTCTGCAGTTCATTGATTGTTTTTCCCTTATTTCAGATAAAAGCACTATACACATGCAGAAAAATATTTTCCTAGACTAAAATGCAAGTTAAGTTGTTATTATAGTATAGAAAAAAAATCATTGCATCAAGATGGAAATGTATGGTCCTTTAAATGACAAGTCAAACAGAGGAAGGATAAATCGTCAAATCAGAACTAGTTACCTACATAATCTCTCCTTGACTGTTTAAACCTCTCAAGGTTTATGGAAGAGACATTGAGGAGAATGGAAGGATGCATCTCTCAGACTTTCCCACACCAATTATCCCAACTAAAACCATGCAGTTTATCTAGTTTTCTTTTTTTTTTTTTTTTTTTAGAGGCGGGATATTTATTGCAAACTAAGTAGTCCTATGTAATAGCCACGTTGATATTTCCCTAGTATTTCTTCAGTCTACGAAAATGATAAATATAGAATGAAACCTCAGAAGCTTTTAGATCAATAAGACCCATCACCTCACCTTCCATTTACAGCTTACTCTTCCTAAACATTACCAACCATATACTGTTGTTTTCTCCCAAAGTGAACTAGTACAAGAAAAGGAGATTCTTAAAGAACAGTCAGAACACATAGAGGGTAAGCCACGTTCCCATAATTTTGACACACAGTTTGCCTGCGATCTCCCTGTGGGAAGCATAGTAAGGCTGTGGTCATGTCTGTGTTCAGAATGTGCCTCTGGAGTGCCAGCGGGAGCAGCCAGCCGCCAGGGGAGCCTGCTGGTGATCAACTTTGACCTGGAGCCAGAGTGTCCTGATGCTGAGCTTCGAGCCACTCTACAGTGGATAGCTGCCTCCGAACTTGGGATCCCTACCATCTACTTTAAGAAATCTCAGGAAAACAGAATCGAAAAGGTATCTTGTTGCATGTTTGGATGTGAATAAAGCTTTGTAGTTTTTATCACTGCTGGAAACTCAGTAATGCTCAGTTTTAATCCATTTGAATTTGAACTGTTTGTTCTTGACTTTTTCACCTTAAAATTGTGCTAGAACTTTGAAACCTTCCACCTGCATAAATATAATCATGATTACTGTTTTTTTGACCCTCCATTTGTCTCAGCCACTTGGTGACAATGAGAAAGTAAATTGAGGAGATGGGAATTTTTTCAAGGAGTCTGTTGTTTTTTTGGGGGGCGGGGTTGATGTTTCCTTGCTCTGGAACCAATACTCATTTAAATAAAAGGTAGAAGGAAAGGCTTGATATATCATAGAAACCTAAGTGAGGCCACATTGATATTTAAAACAGACTGTGGTATGGTGTCAATGAAAAGGCATTTTTAATTCCCTACTGAACAGATTTGCATTATGCAGACTTTTTCATTATCATTCTCCACCCACCAAAAATATAAAGTTAGGGAACAGATCCATGGCCAACATCAAAATTAATAGCAACTATCACTCTAATTCCCTATCTCTAAGACCTACCACTAAGTGTTGTAGAATATCAATTAAGATTAAAGCACAAATCTATCTGTCAATGTCTTCAAGCTCAATTTTCCATGATTTAGAAGTATGCTCCTTTTAAAAAGATTCAAGGGGCCCCGTGGCATGGTGGTTAAGTTCGGCTCACTCCACTCCGGCAGCCTGGCTTCGGGTCCCAGACACGGACCTACACCACTTGTCAGAGGCCATGCTGTTGCAGTGACCCACATACAAAATAGAGGAATATTGGCACAGATGTTAGCTCAGGGTGAATCTTCCTCAGCAAAAAAAAAAAAAAAAACAGCTCTGTTGTCAGAAGTCTGGGTGAATTCTACTGTGCTCTCTGCTTAGGGACTTACAAGGCAGAAATCAAGACATCAGTCCAGCTGGACTGGAAACTATGGGAAACTATGGGAAAGAATAAATTTTCAAGTTTGTTTGGGTGGTTGTCCTAATTCAGTTCCTTGCCATGGGAGGACTAAGGTCCCCATTTCCTTGCTGGCTGTCAGCTGAGGACAACTCTCAGCTTCTAAAACTGCCTACATTCCTTGTCGTGTGGCCTCCTCCATGTTCTCATGTGGTCAATCTCTCTTAATTCTTCACCAGCCATAGAAAACTCTGCTTTTAAAGTGTTCATCTGATTAGATTAGGTTCACCACATAGTTTCCCTTTTGGTTAACTCAAAAGTAACTGAAGAATCCCTTTTGCCATGTAAGATAACAGAAGGGCATAATTATCTCATCCTGTTCATGGTACTGAGGATTAAGGCGGAAAATCTTGGGAGCTGTTTTAGGATTCTGCCTATCACTGCCACTGTGCTTTTTCAAAATGTCATATTGTCACAAAGTACCTCCACGTACTCATTGTATTTGTTTCTCAACAACCTTGTGAGTAGAGCAGAATGGAGATTGTCCCTTTTTTACTAACAAACAAGTCAGGACCCAGAGATCCTGGTCTGTGAAAGAGTTCTCAGATAGTGACGGCTGAGTCCAGTGCTGAAACTCTCCTTTCTCCACAAATACCTCTCAGTAGTATCTCTCTCTCAAGATAAGTTGCTTTGGAGTTACAATCTGGATTTTTTTTTTTAATGTGTAATTGCATTTTTTTAATTCTCACTGCCAAAATCTAGCAGCCTGAAATAAAAGATTTTTTACCATCTTGCCCATGCACATAATAATTAGAATAGCTTCCCCATCTCTGCGTCACCAGCCACTGGGATTGGCTACTGAGAAAGATCAAGAAGGAGATCTAATTTATTTTCCATGCCCTCACCCACTTCAGCCTCTCTCTCTAACCAGTAATTTATATTTCTCTTCATACCTAAGACTGCCTACAGTTCTAAGCTGTCTGAATCTAGATACTATCCTATACCTGTCATACCATTGTTTGCAAGGTAATGAGTGGTTCCCTATTTGATAAATTCTCCTTCTGCCTTACCACCCAGCCTGCCCAATGCAAAGAGTGGAGTGAAAGAGCATGCCACATTTGACCCACCCCTCTTGCCATACACAATCCCAAAGACCCCCTGCCGTTGGGGAGGAGAACCAGAACATTCTCAGGCAAAGTATATTTCAGATTCCTGGAAAAATGAAAGACAGATTGGTTTTCAGCTGTATCTCCAGAGCATTATTACATGGTGCATTTTCTGATCATCTCTTAATGAGACAGATTTTTATACAATCCACCATTTTAAAGAAACAGCATAGGGGTTGGCCCGGTGGCATAGAGGTTAAGTTTGGGTGCTCCACTTCGGTGGCCCAGGGTTTGCAGGTTCGGATCCAGGGCACGGACCTACACACTGCTCATCAAGCCATGCTGTGGTGGCATCCCATACACAAAATAGAGGAAGATTGGCACAGATGTTAGCTCAGGGCTGGTCTTCCTCACCAAAGATGAAAAAAGAAAGAAACAGCATAATACTCTATGTGAATATATGTTTCATAAATCCTCATTGGGTGAAAGGGCAAGCAGGGTGTCACTAACACCTTGATTATGGTAAATCATCCCCTGACTTGATATTTATTTATCCTCACCTTTTTTCAATTCTTAAAGAAGATACTTGCCTTTGCTCATAACTATTTTTCTGAGAAAGTAAACATTCCACTAGCGTTATCAAGAAAAACATAAAATGATATTTCAGTCATTCAATTTAGCATCAGTTCAAGGAGCTTGTTTCTAAGTAATGTAATTTTAGGGATTAAATCTTCTAGTGTTTTTTTCCGAGTTAATTAAGGTTCTCTGCACATAGTGGCTTCTCCAGAAATGGACAGCTTTTGTTGTCTGAGACACCACTGGTTAAGTAAAGCAAACCCTGAAGCAAAATTTTGACATCATGTCTTTTATCAATAGTGCATTGGAGACCTCATTCTGATTGTTTTTTTAATTAGCCGGGCAGTTAAATGGCCATTTTCAAGTGCCATGGGAGAGAGATTGTGGCCTCCCACTGAGGCTCTGTCACAAAAGAGCAGCAGTATCTCATTAGCTCCTCATCAGCTTGGAGAAGGTTAAAAAAAGTCTGTTCAGAAATGTCATTTTCCCACCGTCAGTCGAGTATTAAACTAACATTCACAGATACATACCCCGAGTCCCAATTTGTATGAATTCTGAATTTTTCGGATAAATTAATTTAGTTAACATAGCTCCCTTTATGGTGTTCCCAGCTCATTAACCCTCCTGCCTTGTGAAAATACAGGCATGAACTAAAGAGGAGAGGACATCATGAATGAATACTGAAGCAGCTCATCTTTCCCACCACTGCCCGTGAACTTGGTCTTGGAGTTGGAGGGCACTTAAAGTCAGCTTATAAGGAATTCCAACCCTACTTCAACTCGAAAGACAAATTCAAAACATTCTGGGTGTCCAGTGTACTGTCACTCGTCTCTGATAAATGACACTTTCATTTTCAAGCTTTCTCTTTCACATTTTATTTTCTAATCATGAAATTCTAAGTCCACTTGAAAGTTGTACACTCAGAACATTCATCAAACATTTATTGAGAAGGTGCAACATGCCAGGCGCTGTTCTAGGCTCTGGGGATACAGGAACAAAAGAGATAAAATTTCCTACCCTCTTGGAGTTTACATTCCAGTTCAAGAGGGACCCAAAGGAGGGAGAACATAAAACAAGAGAGTCTCAGGTTGTAAAGAGCAAATTTGAAATATGATGGAAACTTAATCCGGACAAGGGAGATGAGAAACACACTGAAAACAGTATTTATCACATCTCCACTATGAGCCAAATGTTCGTAGAATCACCTGAGACGTTTATTTATGATTCATATTCCTAGGACCTTTTTTGGCCCTGATCACTTTCTAGGAGTGCGGCCCAGAAATATACATTTTTAACAGCTTCCCTCAAGTGAAGTGATTCTGATGAGCAGTAATGTTTGAGAACACTTCCATAAGAAATATCCTGAAGGAGTGGCAAAATTTGAGGTGGCCTTTAAATATGCTAAATTGCAGGAGAAAGATGGCTAGGAATCCTAATGCCTGATGATCTAAAACAGTTTGTAAATTTAATTCACGACGACCTTAATTTTAATCTACTTAATTCAAGGTGAAAAAAAAATCACGAAAGCAATTGGTTAAAAAAAATGAAATCAATTGGCTAATTTTCTTGCTTTTTGGATCCAAAGCATCATTGCTCTCCAGCTCTTTTTCTTCTGTTTAAATTCAATGAGTTTCTGTGAACTAGAGTGAGCTGATGACTGACCTTACGCAAATTGGGTGCCTTTATCATCTTTAAGCCTATTTTTGAGAATTACTTTGCTTTCTTGGAGGTGCCATATAGAACAGAAGAAAGAGAGGAAACGAGTTTATGCTTACCTTCCCAAGAAAGAGGCATCAGAAGAGAAGTGACCTCACCTCTATTTTCTTATTCCATTCCACATGCAAATTGGTAGAAGGAGAATGAGAGAGATAATGTTGATGGTATTGACTGTTAACCTAACTTCCAGAAATACTACACTTAGAGTCTCAGTTTTGAAGAAATACATAACAAAGGAAGAATTAGATATTGTCTTAGTCAACTCAGGCTGCTATAACAAAATACTGTAGACTGAGTGGCTTAAACAACAGACATTTATTTCTCACAGTTCTGGAAGCGAAGTCCAAGATCAAGGTGCTAGCAGATTCAGTTCCTGGTGAAGACTTTCTTCCTTGCTGTGTCCTCACATGACAGAGAGAGAGAGTTCTGGTGTCTCTCCCTCTTCTTATAAGGGCATGAATCCTACCATGGGAGCCCCATCCTCATGACCCAAACCTAATCATCTCCCAAAGGTCCCACCTCCCAACAACATCAATTGGGGGTTAGGGCTTCTATATATGAATTTGGGGGGACACAAACATTCAGTCCATAATAGATACTAAATCTCTTCATTTGTAAACATAAGAAATTGTCTTGAACTGAATCCTTTAGTCATGGTTCTCAAACTTAGTGTGTGCCAGAATCATCTGGGGAAGTTTTATAGACCCCGATGCTTTGGCCAATTAAATCAGAATCTTCTCTTGGGATGAAACTCAGGCATTGGGGTTTTCTAAATGTCCCTGGTGGTCCAAGGTGCAGCCAAGGCTGAGAATCACGGCTCTAAAGGCTCCATAATTGCAGGAGCTCCATAATTGCAGGAGCACTATAAAGACCAACTCATTTGCACTTAATGAAATGGAAGGAATTTTGCCTTGGAGTAAGAGAAGGTAGCTGCTTTCAGAATTTAAGTTGAGTGTTTCAACAAAAACTGCACAGTTTGCAACAACTCCCATAGATTCCACCATATGCTTTTGCAAACAATTCATTTAATTTAGTAAATGCACCTGAAAATATAAAAGCCACCTACCATATGACGTTTTTCTTCGAATGAGTCTACTAATGATACACCATCCCAGAATGTAAATTCTTGTAGTTTCCTAAGACAAAACATTTGCTCAAGGAAATGCCAACTATGACATATAGGAAGGGAACCTAATTATTGTTGGTGGTGAAATGGCAGGAAATGAAAAATTTGGATTTTTCTTTTTCAATGCATTGGAAAGAAAAACCCAGATCTCTGACACACTAAAGCTGATTATGAAATTACCAGGGCAATAATATGAACAGACACAATGAAAGATCTAGGGCCAGCTGCTAAGTAGATCATAGTTTTAGAAGGCTATAGTAATGAGCTGAAAATGTCCTTTTTGGCTTCTTCACAATCTTAGCTTCATTTTTGTAAATGAAAGAAGAAAGGAAAGTGTAAGACCTTCCTGCTCATCAGCGTCACAGATGTTTCAAGGTCTCCATGTCTGAGATTAAGTCATTGCAGCCTCAGAGCAGGCTATCTTTAGTGGAGCCAGATCATTTTTAAAAGCTGCCTTATTGGAATATCAGCCTGGATTTAGAAATCATGAGACAGAATAGCCTCTGACCATTCCACAAACTACTGACAGAGTGGCCTGCCTGGTGGGGCATTTTGATAAGTTTGGGTCAGTCAACAACAACATCCTGTGGTCATCACCACAGGGGGAGACTCTCCTTCATCAGGCCCCAAATAGATGGAAAGAAGCTAGTATTGTGCTTCCAGAAAGGTCTGAAGCAGAGAGCCTTCTGGGAAGAGTTTAGCAGATATTGGCATCTTCCCCAGAGCTTTGATGATCTCTTAGAGCAATGACTCAGAAGCAAAAGTTGGGAATAAGGTGGTGGCCCAGTGAGCCAGGGTTTACAGAAAGAAACAAGAAAGGAGCTAAGGCTAATTTATATTTCTGTGTACTTTATGTTGACTACATCTTTATAAGACATGTTAAGGGACAGGAGACACATTCAAGGGATGAGTCTGGCCTAAGGCCATTGGCAACCCTTAAGGGAAATCTTAAAGAGAAGTCAAGGGCTTATGAGCCTCTCTCAGTGAGACCTCAGAAATTTGATGTTCAAGACTTCTCCACCAGGAACACCTACTTTCTAGACTTCTAGTAAGAGCTAGAAAAGTCTGATCAATTGAGTCATGCAAAGTCATCCTAGCCTTTCTCTCATTTTCTCTGAGGCCTCATGTTTTTACCACTTTGTCCAATAGAACACATGCCTTGAATCTTTCATACACACCAGGATATAGGTAACAGCTCAAAAAATTATTTTTATGCATCTCCATAACTTGCTAATAGCCACCTGGAATGTTCCCCTTTCTGAGGGTATTTGCCTTTTAAGCAATGCCTTAACCTGAAGGATTAAGCTCTCTAAAATTTCAGGAATCTGACAACCAGAAAGCCAGATAGAATTGTGAGGGGTCCTAGACAACTAATAGTCTCTGAAATTCTATCATGAGACTGATGGAGCTGAATGAATTCCATTGGTGTTGTGGTGAGCAGGGAAGAGAGGCCTTGGGTGTCCCACCTCCACAACGTACACACCCACTCTCAGTCACAGTGTGATGAGAGACATGCCCCATGACCAGCTGTTACTTTGCTCCTTGCCCACTACCACTGCCCCAATCTAGGCTCTGTTAGGCCTTTGCCTAAATCCATAGCCTTCAACCATTTTTGTAGAGCATCCTATAGATAGAAAATTATTGAGTAAGCAGCCCCAAGATATGCATGTTTATTTTTTAATTATATATATTCAAATTCATTACATAAAACTCAGGAATGAACACTTAGACAAGGTTCATCCTCAGTGATTCTGGATATCACTCCATATTTCAAATAGTCTTCTTGATCACTTTGAATGTAGGTGACTCACTTGGTCATTCATTCCTTCTGTCATTCAGCCAATATTTATTGAGTATCTCTTACGTGTAGGCACAGGAGATTAAAAGATGGCTAAGAAGTTGTTATTTCCTGGGAGATTACCATCTATAACATAGTTGCCATTGGCCTCCATCTATTTGTTTTTTTACATCATCCTAAAACTCTTTGAGATAATGTTTATGTTTCCATGTATTAAAATTTAAATATTTCATTTTCTAGCCTAGAAAATTGCTTTATTCTGATTAAGCCAACACAAGGCAAGCAAGTACAATAAGGTGCCGATTTCTGTAACTGTGCCAATGGTTGGCGCCATCACAGCTGGGTGAAGAAACATAATTTAATAGTAGCTGTCTGTAAGACAAGTTCTTGAATTTGTCAGTTGAAATGGATTAACAAATTCAAAACTGGAGAGTGGGGAAAAGACCAGAAAGAAATTAGCATTCCAGTGTCTGGCTAATCTCGAAAGTCTGAGCAAATGCATAAAGAGCAGAGCAAAAAAATTCTAGAAGGAAACATTGAAGAAACAGTAACTAAACCACAACTCTCATCTTTTTTAACAAATAGGTCATTCTTCCTCGTAAAACTAGACCAGATTTTCAACCTATCCTTTCTCCCAGTGTTCCAAATAAAAATCAATGCAGTGTTCTCCTACCACCAAAATGCAAGAGCATTGGACTGGAATGTTAGAAGATCACACCTCCTGCTGCCAACTTTTCATCTCACATGTCCTCAATTTTTTTCCCCCCGAAGCCCCAGTAGATAGTTGTATGTCATAGTTGCACAGCCTTCTAGTTGCTGTATGTGGGACGTGGCATCAGCATGGCCGGAGAAGCGGTGCGTAGGTGCGCGCCCGGGATCCGAACCCAGGCCACCAGCAGCGGAGCATGCGCACTTAACCGCTAAGCCACAGGGCCGGCCATCACATGTCCTCAATTTTTTCGTGTGTAAATGCTTGCCTCACAGGGTTGTTGACAGAATTGAATGAGATTACTTGAAAGTACTTCCTAGAGGTTTTGGCTCTTAACAATTGTTACTTTTTTAAAAGAGTGTCTAACTAAGGAGTTTGAGAGGCCTTCATGCTGGGCTTCATCCCACAATTTCACGAAGGAACGATCTATAGTGATTTCCCCATCTTCCAATGCTCCAGTTCGCAATTCACCTGTAGTAAAAACCTTTCTAAGTTGTGGCCAGTTGAAGCTGGTACCAATAACCACATAACAAATTGAGGGTGTTCCCTCAATCTTTCTTTTTCCTGTTGCAAAGGAAAGCCAACATCTCTTGAAACTTGATAATGAGAGAGGGGACTTTTCAAGATGGAGTGAAGAACCAGTAGGTGCCCCTACCCGAGGGTTTAGTACTAGATTTGTTTGGCCTAAATATATACATCCAATAAGACACTGTGACACAGATACAAGCGACTGGAAGCCGTGGTATCCAGTCCTGTCAGAGTCTAACCCAGAGAAAAGCATGCTTGAGGAAACTCTTGAAATATCTAAAAGACAGACTCTTGAAAGAATTCCATCTAGTCTCCCGCAATCAATGGATAGCAACTGCTGTGAGTAAAATTCCAGTTCAGTTGATAATCCGAACTGTCTAAAAAGAAAATAGACTGTCCTGGAAAATAGTCCCCAGTCACTAGAGATATTCAAAAATAGCCTGGAGAGCCGTTGGCTGTGGAAGAATGGCTGAATGAGATGACTTGGAGGATCCTCTGTGATACATGAGTCCTAACTCTGTGCTTTATTTAGTTTCTAGATGTCGTGCGGCTGGTTCATCAGAAGTCCTGGAAAGTGGGGGATATCTTTCATGCAGTCATTCAGTACTGTAAAATGCATGAAGAGCAGAAGGATGGGACCCCCAGTCTCTTTGACTGGCTCTTGGAACTGGGATAAAGCAGCTATGCCCTGTAGAGTATTCATTTACTTTATTCCAGCTTAGATTACAGTGGTTTGTTCTAAATGCTCTAAACTCTCTCAAAACATCACATCACATTAGCAGAGCTACAAAAAATCTGCTGTTCAAGTCTACTGCACATGGAATAAATCTGAGGAAAAGCAAGATATAGGTCTGTACAAATCAATACAAGCTGCGGGTGAATGCAAAAGAGCTTGTATTAGAATGCCTGGAAAAACAGAAATTTTAATGGGCCAGAAATTAAAAGCTTACAACTAGGCCCAAACTCCAGGAAAGCTGCACTTGCATATTTTTCATAATTTAAAATAAAATGTAATGTCTCTAATTATGTGAATCAACTGGAAACAAAGTCACTGGTCAAGATAATTTTGTAAACTATGCTATAACCTTTATTTTACTTTTTTGAGCAGATTAAAGGGCTGTCAGCCCAAGTAAACACTTAAGATATGGGTGAGAAATTTCCAGAACATCGATATAAAAGATTTCCACTTTCAGACCAATATCAGTGAATATTAACAGAAATGCAAGAGAATATCAATGTCATCTACTGAGATAATTTCACTTATTTTCTGCAACCCACTGATAAATATTCCACATCTCCCCAACAGTATCTGGGTTCCTAGCTAACCAGAAAACTATTGGTATTCAGCTGGGAGAGAGAAAGATTGAAGATTGTCTTGTTTCCATCTCTGTATTACTTGAGCAACATGATTACAGAATTCTTACCTTAAGGGAAAGCTTTCTTACGAAAAAAGTCTTCTGAGATAAAATCTGCTTGTGTATTAAATTATATAAAGTATAAACATTCATTTTATTTTTATTGTAAATTATGAAGAGAGTGTTATCTTAATATACTGAGTTAGCCTAGAGGTTTATAAAATATGAAGAGATTGTTGTCTTAAGTTATATATTGACACTTGAGCTCAGTGGTTTCATTATAAATGTGTTGGTACCCGTATGGCAGACTTGCTACTCGGATGATATTTATAAAGTCAGATGCAGGATTTGACATAACCAGTTAGGATCATAGACTTTTCCTGATTTAAAGATATTGGCATTCAATTTGGGAAAAAGAAAACCTATCACATTTAAGTATTTTAATGAGAAAGATTTATTCTTTTGACGGATAAAGCTATCTAACTTCTCCCTAATAAGTCTTCTATCCCTTCAACCAAAGGAGCTACACTGGCTTTTATTTTCTTGCTCAAAGAAGGTGTTTATTAAAGATTTCCTGAAATACCATGCTTTTACACTATTTTTAGAGATTATGACATAATTTTAAACATGAACAAGGCCCCACGCCATCAATGCTGGCCTTATGTGAAATCCACATCTTGAAATGTCAAGAAAGCTTCTTTGTAAGCCATACTTCCCGCCCCACCATCCACTCCAGGAATCTTATCCAGTACTCATTAGGCATTTATTAAAAATAGTCCAAATTTAGGTTGTATGTTTAATTTTACACACTAACCAAATGTCAGATTTTAAAATTTGTGCATTATCTCACACTGAAAGTTCTTTGTGCTTCTAAATGGAAAAGGGTATATTTATTTTTTAAACAATTTCAAAACATCGTGTGTAGGCTTTCATTGTGCTCGAATGAATGTTTACTTATCCTACAAAGCACAAATACTGGATTGTAACCTTGTGATGAAGTTATATATGTTGTACCTAACATTGCAAACTAATCAATAAATTTTTGTTGCCAAATTGTCGATCATTTTTTTCTCTAAGAGCTTAAGCATCTCATAGAAAAAATAGCAACAGTGTGATTGGATGAAGGTAGATATATCCCTTAGGCAAGTGTTGCTGTCTCACTTTCAGTTTTTGAATAAGCAAATGTTCTTTGACTACATTTGTTAGGATCAGTGATATTTATGTAAATCAGCGTTTCTCAATTTTGGCGCTATTTGTATGTGGGGATGGGTAATTCTTTGTTGCTTGTTCCTTGGCTCCTACCCACTAGATGCCAGGTAACCACTTCCTCCCAACTATTACAACATCACCCAATGTCTCCTGGGGAAAAAATCACTGGTTGAGGACCACTGGTGTAAATAATGTATTGAAGGGGCAGAGCCTGAGGCTGTAGGAGGTGTTATGGTAAAGGAAGAGGCTGTAGCCCCTAGTCTGGGGAATCCCAGCAGGAACCTGAAAACCTGGCATTCTTTCCTGCATGCTCCCAAGACCTATGAGCTGTGGATTTTGCAGTAAGTCTTGGGGACAGGAGAAAGAGGTACAAGACAAGCAAGGAGTCTATAAGGATAAACCAACCTAGATGCAAGTAAACTAGAGGTCAACTCATCAAGCTTAGAGGTAAATGGATCAGCGTTCTATGAACTCAGCAAATAAATTGTTAGTTTATGCAAATAAGGTCTTGAGACTCCTGGGCAGTTTGTTTTATTCATTAATAAGAAGGCAAGAGTATGCTCACGTAAAGAATTCTCCAATCACCCAGAGGGTAATATCGAATAAAAATAAATTCTGGACATTGGCAAGGAGAGGTTTTATTTCAAAAGATTATTACAAGAAGGGGAAAGGGACTGTTGCAATGCGGGGTAGGGGTGGGGACTATTGCACTGGCAGCAACGCTCCAACTGTGAGATCTGCAAGTGTCTCAAGAGTTAGGCAAAAAGGAGTTTTCTTTTAGAGAGAGGAGTGAACAAGAATAGAAAGAGCCAGGTGTGGAGAATGGAACGGACAAGACGAGCCAGTGGAGGTGGCATGATAGAAAAATAGGTTGGAGGACAGTTTCTCCTGAGCTCAGCCTATCCTCAGGAGGAACTCCTTAAGAAGGGGCTATATATGGATCAGGCTGACGACAACGGGTCGAAGTTCAGGGAGAAAGGAGAGAAGATTAACTAAAATTTGGTTAACAAGCATTTTCTTCCAGTTGAACAGTGGATACAAACAGTTGAGCTAATCATCTATGAGGCATAGAATGGGAATTTGGAGGGTCCTTGTCAGAGGTAAACAAAGAAGGCATCCAAGAGTCCAGGATTCAGAGCTGGGAGCCAGCCAGAGGCAAGTCCTGAAAAGAGGCCTCTTTTAGGAATGTGCAAGTTAGAGCAATCCAGGTCTCCTGAGTTAACCCTTTCCTGCATAAGCATTTATCACCATCTTCCTTCTAGCATGGTAAGTTGAATACACGTGTCTCTGTCAATGATCGTAAGCTCCTTGAGGATGGAGCCGTCTTTTGCTCACCCATGGATTCTGCCATATTCCCTAGCACCATGTCTTGTCCGCAGTAGATGTTGAATTGAAGTGGTAAAGCTAATGGGATAGCTTTGGATAACTGAGGCTTTGGTTTGCATCTAATGATGTCCAACCTTTAATTCTAGAAACACAATTTTACTTCAACATTCTTCTGGCTTACCGGAGACTGCTACCCGGTATATTAAGCTTCTCAAGATTTTTTGCGAAATTACTTTTGAATTTATGCAAGAGAAACTTTCTATAAAAATTTGCCTTTTATTTTAGTTGCAGAAAAACGTTTGACCACAGGACTGAGAATGTTTTCATGGCACTGGGATGAATTTAAAGGATATTCAGGGCATTGTCAGCAGAACTTGTAGGCCAATTGAGAGCAGATAGGTTTGAATGCAATGGACAGGGGAAAAAAACCATTTGAGCCTTGCTTCCTATCAGCAAAAATTGTCTGTACTCATACAAACAAACAAAATGCTAATCTACTGTTACTGTTGCAACAATCCTTTGGCCATTTGAATTTTTCGTTTCCTGAAATTATTCCCTCAAAAATGCCCCCCTTGGCAGTCCCATATCCAGTTTCACATGCTTCTTTTCAGTTTTCACATCTCCTTCCGAGTGCTTCCCTTTCTGTACTTCAGAGATGGCCTTTCATTGAATACTTGTCAGCAGTTATTTATTTGCCTTTGGGAGATTCCCACTGCTTTGTTGAACTCTGTCCTATTGATTCCTTTCCTCTCTGCTCTGCCTGTTTCTGGCCCAGAATGTGGCAGAGATTCCAGATTCTACCGTGACAGTCTAAGCACCACAAAACCCAGGTGCAAAGATTGTTTCACGGCAGATGTGTTGTCCCTGGGCCGAACACCTGGCCCAAGTCTTTATACATACACAACACATCCTTCTCTTGTCTCTTCACAAACAACAGCATGTGGCACAGATAAGGTAGGAACAAGAATTTCTCTTCTTATAGAGGAAAGCAGAATGAATCGCCATTTGTTGAGATAGAATGAAGGTATATGAAACCAGGAAAACCTCTAGTTTTAAGTGCTCTGGATTCTTCTCCATGACCATGTATGCCATTGGTGAAGGTTACTCTTGCTTACTATTTCAAGCAACAGGAACGGTTATTTTAAACCTAGCAACATTTTTAGTGATAAAGGCGGCAGGTCACATATTGACCTTTTATGACACCCATAGAAATGTCTAATAAAGCCTCACTAAATCAGATCAGTTATTTCCTTCTTCCTTCTTATTTGACGTCAGGATCTTCTTTTAAAATTTAAGTAATTTACAGTCCTGGCTGCATGTGCCCTCTAGCATGTGGCTAAATGTTTCTGAAACATTTTGTTTGTTAATATAACAAATAAAGTATGCAGATAATTGATATATGAGATCACTTTCAACTGGAACATTCTACAAATTGCCATTTGGCAGAGAGAAGGGTATAAAGGTGATGTCAACGTGAGGAGCAAAGCTATTGTTGTATAGAATTCCGTGTCTCAGGAAAATAAAAATTAGGAGAGGCCTCCTATTAAACATCAAGCAGTAGTTTGGTTTTTTTTTTTGTTTTATTGTTTTTTCCCTAAATGCTTGGGGCAAGATGCAAGAAATCAAATTTTGAACAATTCTGGATAAAGAAGTGAAGAAAAGTTTGAGAGTATTCAGAGAGACAAAGAAAAGTGTAGTTATAATTCTTAACATTTGTTTGGTATAGATTGTTTTCAAAATCTGAGGAAAAGAGCACAGACGCAAAATTCAGCAATTATCTGTACAGTTTCAGGGAGATTATATATGTCATTTTCATAATCCTGCTCCAGACTCTACATCGCTACAAAGCTCTACTTTGTAGAGCTTTGCCATCACCTTCCAGACCCTCCCTCTGGTGCTCAATCTATTTTGGTCCCTAGTGATCCTCAATAAATGTCTGTTTAAAGAAACCCCGCCCTCCAGGAACTCATGTATTTATGAAGAAAGCATGTCATAAAGGTCAGATTCTAACCGAGAAGAACACCATTTTAAGAACATCATTTTTTTTTTGTAGAATTATGTCCTCATCAAGGAAAGGAAGGAATGAACGAATGAATGAACGAAGAAGGGAGGGAGGGCAGAGAGGGAGGAAGGAAGGAAGAGGAAGGGAAAGGAAGGGAGAAAGAAATCCATGTAACTCTTTGAGAAATATAGTACTTTTAAAGCAAAAAAATTCTAAAGCCAGCAGAAGTACAGAGTTGAGTTTATATAACATATGTCAGCTAATATATGACAAGAAAAATGTCCACATTGGCTGCGTTATGCTTAGTCAAAGCCTTGGGCCCCATTCATGGCTCCTAAGGAGGCTCCCATTCAACAACAAAGGCTTCTTCTAGTTCCTTCTCAACTGCTGGGGGACGGAGGTCCTGATGTTGATCCCCTAATCAAACCATGTGATTTTGTTTTTCTTGGGTCTAGATTGCTGAAAACAGAGGTAACAGTTCTAACCACCTGCTACTCAAAGCAAATGAAATGTATTACTGTTAATTAAAAATGCACCCAAAGAAGGAATATTTTTCAGTTATAAAAAGAAGGAAATCCTGCCATTTGCAACAACCTGGATGGACCTTGAGGGCATTATGCTAAGTGAAATAAGTCAGACAGAGAAA